AATAATAAAATAAAAAATAATTTTTTTTTAATTAGTAGATTGGGCCTTACCAAAATTAAAAATTTCAGTTTGAGACTTAAGAAAATGGATTGGATCTGAGGAAATGATCAATATAGAAAAAAAAAAAAAAAAAAAAACAGAAAGGCAAGTTACAGACTGGGAGAAAATATTCATAATATGTATATCTGACAGGGAACTCATATCAAAAACATATAAAGAACTCTGAAAACTCAATAATAAGGAGCCAGCCCAGTCAGAGAAGCTCAAGAGATGTGTTTGAACAGACACATCACAAAATAATAGCCAATAAGCACATGAAAAGATACTCAACATCATTTTTATTAGGAAAATGCAAATTAAAAACCATAATGAGATACCACTACACATCCACTTCACTGGCTAAAATTTAAAACTTGACAATACAATGCCTGCAATCCCAGCACTTTGGGAGGCTGAGGTAGGCAGATATCTTGAGGCCGGGAGTTCAAGATCAGCCTGGCCAACATGGCAAAACCCTGTCTGTCTTAAAAATACAAAAAAATTAGCTGGGCATGGTGGCTCACTCCTATAATTCCAGCTACTTGGGAGGCTGAGGCATGATAATCATTTGAACCTGGAGGCAGAGGTTGCAGTGAGTAGAGACTGTGCTACTGCACTCCAGCCTGGGTGACAGAGCGAGACTCTGTCTCAAAAAGAAAAAAGAAGAAGAGTGATGCTATAAGTCTTTGCTATGATGTAGACCAACTGGAAGTCTCATACACTGCTGATAGAAATATAAAATAGTACAACCACTTTACACCGGTGTTTTCTTAATAAATTAAATATGCACTTAGCCTATACAGCAATTCCATTTCTTGATAGTTAGACAAAAAAAAGGAAAACATGTCCATAAAAAAGGTTTACATGAATAAATAGCTTTATTCATATAGCATAAACTGGAAACAACTGAAAATGTTTATCAACAACTGAATAGATAAAGAGATTGTGGAATATTTACAAAATATACTAGTACTCAACAATAAGAAGGAAATACATGCAGCAACATGGATGTTCTATTATATGAACTTATAGGACAGGGAAATCTTATGAATAGTAACCGGAAATGGATAATTGGTTGCTTGAGAATGGCTTTTGCAAAATATTGACTGAAAGAGGGCATGAAGGAATTTCTGGGGTGATGAAAATGTTCTATATTTTAATTGGGGTGCTTACAAATGCATACATTTGTCACAACTCATTGAACTGTACATGTAAAATAGGCACATTTAGTTGTGTGTAAATTATTCCTCAAAAAAGACTATTTAGGAAAGTGCAAGAGCAAAAAGCCACAGTATAATCTTACTAGAAATCATCTGGAAAACAAATCATCGGAGCTTCTATGCCAGAAAATAATCCTCATATTTGCTTTAGTGTTATTGAGCACTAATGAAAATATATCTTAAATAATGTACTGTTTTAAGATATTCAGTAGAAAGATATGTGCTATGATTTTAGTAATTATGTAAGTACCTTGGCAACAAGTTTCATGTAACAAAAAACATCTTTTATGAGAAATATATTCATTTCGGGATCAGAAACTACAGGGTTGATGGCTACCTTATGGTCCTTTAATTGAATAAGTACAACCATGTCAGATGTCCTGCTGTGTGAATTTCTCCCACACTTTAGATCCAACTTGGATATAAATGTGACTTGGATCTAAAATGTGGGGATTATTGTTTCCCTAAAAAAAAAAAAAAAAATCATTTTGCAAGGCCTCACCAAATGTTCAATTTATTTTTCTTCCGTTTGTATTTCTATGCTAACATACAATTATAATTAACTTCTTTCTTGTGCCCTTAATGTAATTTTATGCAACAAACCAAATGATTTTATGCACTCTCAACATTTTCACCACAATCTGATGATTTTGTTTATGCAGGGATTTTACATTAGCCCAGAATTATCAGGCTTAAGTACTGGAGAATTTATATACATACAACTAGAGTTATCTATAACATGGCCTAACCTACATGAACGTGCCAGTAATTTCCCTTTCTTTGTCAGCATTATTCCCTATTTTCATGACTCTGTTTTTAAGACATGCCTATATTCTACTTTATAGTGACTTAGCTAAGTCTGTTAATGATTTAAATTTCTAGGATACTGTGACAGTTTATGCAGAGAGTGATTTAGAATATTTATAATTGTTATTTTTCTGTGAGGCCTGGGACATTCAGTCACCATTTTATATGGCCACATAGACATGGATACACAGCACAGTATTTGCATTTTAGAATGATGCTTGGTTTTCCACCTTTCTGTGAGATCTGGCCACCATATTCCTCATAAGAATTCATTTGTACTCTGACTTTCAAAATCATTACCTATTGAAATAAATAGGACATAGGATTTTATGAAAACATTGTTGATAGAGGAAGACAGGTGACTCCAATTGAGCTGAGGCTAGAACTTGTAACTCAGTCATGCTGGGTTCAGATTATTGCAGAAAATACAACAATTCTCAAAATATGTGAAGTTCAACATAAATACAACCAGCAACCTGGAATGCTTAGACGCAGGACCCTCTCCTGCCTGCTCTCTGCTCCTCTGGTGGGGCCTCATGTTCCCTCTGTAGGGTCCCAGAGGCCCTAGTGCCTCCTCTTCTACAGTTTAACCCACCAAGCTGTAATTGTCTGTTCGCCTACTCATCTCTGAGATTTTTCTTGTCGGGGAAATAGACTTCAGCTTTGCTGTCTCCATGGTGATATGTAGTACCAAATACGTAGAAGGATGGCAGTGAGTGAATGAAAAGTGGGTTTAAGGAAGCAACTCAGTATTGCCATGATCATTGTTTTTGCCTGATATGAGTAGGGTTTATGGTTGCAGCATTTCTTGTGTAAGACTTGGCTTTCCAGCTGGCAAAATTGAAGAAATAACCACCAAGCTAAGAGCCATGTTCTAGATGGTTCTTCTAAACAATTGTAGGTGAATTCTGAATGATAATGGCACTTTCTATTATACTTTTTTTCCTAGGCAGTTTCATTTCTATTCGGTAGTTGGAATCACAACCTTGCTGAACCTGTTTCCTTATAGCAATATCTAGCATTTATAAAGCATTCAGTATGCTCCACCCCACCCACTGTGCCAAGCCTTTATGTGCATCATCACAGTTAACTTTCATAACAATCCGATGAAAAAGGTGATATGTAGGTACTGGGAAAATGAAAGCTTAAGGAGGTTGGGTAACTTGCCCGAGTTCACACATATAACAAGTAAAGAACTCAGGCTCAAAACCAGTCAGGCAACCTCCAGCGCTGGGCTTTTTATTATTTCCCAATGCTGTCCTGTTCTTTTTTTTTTTTTCCAAGGCATTTATCTCCGTGTGAACTTTATATTTATTTGTTTCTGTCATAGAATGCTTACTCCTGGATTTCAGAGACATTGCATCCCCAGGTGTAAAACAGCACCTAGCACCAAGTAGCTGCTCAGTCAGTATTAAATTAATGATGAGGTACTGCCTTCTGGAGTAAGAAATAAAGGATAAGGCTACTAGATGATTTCTAAGTGCTTACCAGTTCTTACATTTTATGAGTATACATTTTAGGAAATGATTTGTTCAAACAGAAAACTCCCCAAATGGTTTTAAAAGGTGGCGTTAAAAATTCTTAACAGCACTACATTAAATATCTATCCACACATGAAGATATTTTGATTGTACACTAACACAAGTTCTATACTGTTTTTGAGGCTGATGCAGTTTCACACCCTTCTTGGGGTAGGGCATTATTTTATATCGCTGATATCTAATGTGTTATCCCTTTAAGATACCTAAAACAAAGCAAACACCCATCCCTGCTTGATTTAGAGGGGTAGGTGCCAACCTAGTTTTGCTATGAGCAGCTCTATGTTCTAAGAAGATCTTGGCTCTTTCCCACTTTTCATTTCTCTCACTAGCCAATTATGTCTGGTAATTGCAAATGAAAGAATTTAGACAAAAAGCTATTACACAGAACCACAGAGCACCTGAGGCCGACAGGAGCTGCCTGAGCCATTGCATCTCTGGAAGCTGAAGCTGTTTTTAGTGACACTTTCCTATCATCCCTCCTTCTTTCCCTTTTCTGTTTTTAAGCTCTCACCTTTTATCCTATTGCTATCTCCTTCCTGAATATATTGCCTGCTCACTTAGTATTTAAGTGGAAAAAAATCTAGCTACTGCAAAAGCAGTATGTTTTTCTACCAGTGACACAATGCTACTGACTTCCGTTCACATCTCCCAAACCCACATTTGGAAACATCTCATCTCCTTCTGTAACTCCATAACTTCTGTAATACTCACCCAGCATCACAACCTGGGCTTTTGAATTTGTCCTTCTGTGCCATCAATACTAATATTCTGTGATCCCAGAACTACTTTCTTCACACAGGATTCACTAAATAATTTATTTCATTGAGAAGTTCTAAAGTATAATCTTTTCTTTCTGGAAAAGCACATCACTTAAACATTTCAAAGGCAGACAATTGAAATGAATGCACAGGTTGTGACATTTTTCCTTGCCATGTCCTTAACTGAGCCCTTGCATGTCTCCCCCTTTGGTATAGTCTCAAACCAGAGTTTGGGACCTTGTTCTTTCATGTTGGAGCAGAGTTCGTATCATTACTTATATATGTATTTGTTTACTTATTTGAAATAGGGTCTGGTTCTGTTGCCCAGGCTGGAGTGCTGTGGCATAATCACAGCTCACTGCAGCCTTGACCTCCTGGGCTTAAGCGATTTTCTCAAGTAGCTGAAACCACAGGTGCATACCACCATGCCTGGCTAGTTTTTTGTAGGGATGGGGTTTTGCCATGTTGCCCAGGCTGGTCTCAAACTCCTGGGCTCAAGTAATCCACCCACCTCAGCCTCACAAAGTGCTGGGATTTCTGGCATGAGCTATCATATCCTCATTTCACTTCATGTAGTCCATTCTATAATTGTTTTTAAAGCGTTAATTTCCATTTGTTGTTGTCTTTACATTCAGATTATATTCAATGCCCATATTGTATGAGGAGGTTCAATGAAACCGCAGCCAAGCGACATATTAATTTCTGCAAGGATCAATCTTCTCGCCGAGTCTTTAATCCAGCCGAGACAGCAGCCAAATTGGCATCCAGAGCTCAGGTAACACTCTCTCCCCAGGTGTTGGCTTTTGTGCCCTTGCATGCCTGGTGTGAGCAGGTGAAATTTCCTAGAGAACCTCAATTACTTATTCTAAGAAGTGTAAGGGTAAAGAGAACTGATCACCATTACTCATCCCTATGGGAGTTGGCTTCTTTTGAAGGGGAATGCTTTCTAGCTAATGGCATCTTTGGGTGTTGTAGAAACAAAAATATTTCTGGAGTATTTGAAGCTTCTTTGGATGAAGACTTGAATACATGGTGTTTCTGTAGCATTATGGAAAAACTCTTTATCCAACAATGGTTATCAATCTTAACCACCCAAAAAAGAATTGCAAATCTGAAGTGAAACTGCCTGAGTTTCACTCACAAGGCAATTGCCCTGCAGGTCATGTATTTTGCTCTGTAGAGAAGGGGTCTTCAGCCTTTTATTTAAAACCACAGAATCAGCAAGTTAAAGGGATATGTGGATGAATGGAAGCAGCTGTTATAATTAGGTACAAATCAGTAATATAACAAGCTGAAGTAGAAGATAGTAGTTTTACAAACCACAGAACTGGAGCCAGAAAACAGCTCCATACACATCAAAGGTCCCAGGCACATACTTATAATATAGCATAAAAACTATTTGTTTCATAGACATGGCTTAGATGCTATGAAAGTTGGTCTGAATACTTCAAATATATATAGACTGGTTTTTTGTTTATTTACTTTTGAGACAGGGTCTCACTCTGTTGCCCAGGCTGGAGTGCAATGGTGTAATCACGTCTCACTGCAGGCTGGAGTGCAATGGTGTATTCACCGCTCACTACAGCTTTGACCTTCCTATTGCAGGTGATCCTCTCACCTCAGCCTCCTGAGTAGCTGGGACTACAGGTTCATGCCACCACGCCCAGCTACTTTTTTGTATTTTTAGTAGAAGTGGGGTCTCACTATGTTGCTCAGACTGGTCTCAAATTCCTGAGCCCAAGCGACCTCCCCGCTTTAGCCTCCCAAAGTGCTGGGATTATAGGTGTGAGCCATCATGCCCAGCCTCTACAGCCTGTTTAGAAAGCTTTTGGCTAAATGCAGTATTTAATGAGGTGGGACCCTTTCCAACAAAAGTGGATCCCACAGACTATCAATCCTAAGCTCTATCCCCAGAAGCATTAGAGAGTTATTGACTATCTACCATGTACCAGATACTGTGCTGGGTACTTGTTGATCAAGAATTTGTCATTGAAAAATGGAGGGGGACTTGGAGCTGGTACAGTTGGCATATATAGGAGGGCTATGGAAGAAATCACTGCAATTCTTGGAAGTCTTCAAAGGCAAGCAGACGTTTTGCTCTTAAATATCAAAATGGGTTCACCAGCCTAGAGGTGGGGTTGGGAAGGGCTTTATGCACAAAACATCCAGCTTGTGGCTGGAGGCACCCATCTGTTTGGTGGTGGGGCTCAGCGAAAGCATAGAGTGCCTATGAAAGAGGTACAGAGACAGGCAAGATAGGCAGCCAGATCTAGAAGGGCTTTAACTAAAGCCAGTTGAGAGAGGAAGAAAAGAGGAATTGGTTGAATATACACCCTAAAATCAAGGACAGCCAGACCTGAGGGCCTGGAAGCAGGAACTGGAAAGTCCTCAGGAAGCCAGACAGTCCTCTTTTGCACTTTGCCAACCTGTCTCCTCCTCCTGCTATTCTCTGCCTTCTCTTCTCTCTGAAGACTGGCTTTCTTGGCCTTTCTGTCCAATTGGCCTCATGTGTCATCCTACAGGCAATGTGGGTTGGGTGAACAGTGGAGACTAGAGTTGCATACAACTGGCTTTTTAGAAAGGTCACTTTTGCAACTACTGTTCCACATGGATTAATGGGAGATCAAGTAAGACCCACCACAACAGGGAAAAAATGAGGGCCTAGAACAGGAGGATTAATAGGGTTGTGTGGGACGGAGCATCTAAGAAATAATTGATGATACTGAGAAAATGATTAGGCATAGAATAAAAGAGGATCAGGGTTGACTATAAGGTTCTCAGCTCCGGAGCCTGAACAGATAGGAAGACAATCTCTGTAGATAATGGAACACTGGAGGGAGGAGATATCTGTGTTGAGGGGCATTGGTTATGATAAATAGTTTCATCGATTGAGTCTTTTTTTTTTTTTTTGAGATGGAATCTCACTCTGTTGCCCATGCTGGAGTCCAGTGGCATGATCTTGGCTCACTGCAACCTCTGCCTCCCAAGTTCAAGTGATTCTCCTGCCTCAGTCTCCCGAGTAGCTGGAATTACAGGCATCCACCACCATACCTGGCTAACTTTTGTATTTTTAGAAAAGATGGGGTTTCACCGTGTTGGCCAAGCTGGTCTCGAACTCCTGACCTCAAGTGATCTGCCTGCCTTGGCCTCCCAAAGTGCTGGGATTATAGGCATATACTACCACACCCGGCCTAGATTCAGTCTTGACATCTGAGATAGCATGGGAAGAAGTGCAATGTAGACAAAGCCAGGATTCTACATTCAGTAGTCAGAGTTTGAATTTCTTTCTTTTTTTTTTTTTTTTTTTTGAGACAGAGTCTCAGTCTGTCTCCCAGGCTGGAAGTGCAGTGGCATGATCTCAGGTCACTGTAACCTCCACCTCTCGGGTTCAAGTGATTATTGTGCCTCAGCCTTCTGAGTAGCTGGGATTATAGGCACCCATGACCACATCCGGCTAATTTTTGTATTTTTAGTAGATACAAGGTTTCACCATGTTGTGAAGGCTAGTCTCGAACTCCTAACCTCAGGTAATATGCCTGTTTCAGCCTCCCAAAGTGCTGGGATTACAGGCATGAGCCACCGTACCTGACCAGGGTTTGAATTTCAATTCTACAATTTAGGTAACTTGGCCAAGTTACTTAAATTCTTGGAGAGTCACTTTCGTCTGTAAAATGGGGTTAATCATGTTTGCCTTGCTGAGTTGTTGGGAAACGTATAGTTCAGTGAAGTGCCCCGGTCAGTGTCTTGCACACAGGGACTCCTCCCTTCCTCTCTCCACATTACCCCAGCCTCTCCTCCAGTAGCCTTTTCCAGTTGATACGATTGGCACCACACTTTTGGAGGAATGTGACTACTTTGGGTTTGAATACAGCCTAATTATGGAAAAGTTTCTAAGTATAAGTCTACCTACATTTTGTAAAGCAGTCAAGGGTGTGTTACATTTCTGCGAATGGTTCTTCTTACCAGTTAGTCGGCTTTAGTGGGGCCAAAGAGAGCACAGGGAAGCAGCAAACGGAAGTGTTGTTATTCCTGAAGAAGGCCAGCTGGCTGTCCTGAGTGTAACCAGTGACTTGGCCTCATTCCTCTCCTTGTTTTCCAGAGCCGAGTGGTGATTGGGAACGCAGAAGAAAAATTGCTTGCTTTCTGCATTCCTTCACTCACTGTAGAGTGTATCTGAACAGCCGTATTTGTTTCCCTTGTGCCAGCTTCACCCTTTTAGGACCTTGTCTAATAGTGAAGCTTATTCAGAAATGGAGCAAGAAGGGAGGGGTTGTTTCAGTTTTGAAGGGCTGTTAACAACACAGCCGAAATATGTTTCTATTTTAAACATAATCAACTTTTAAAATGTGTCATACCCTTAACCAAAAGAGACCAATATGGGCCTCTAAAAATAGCTTTCTTTGTGTGGATAGGGATGAGCTGCCTGCTATAGTCTCACAGCCATTCTTGCCCGAGTGAGAATTCTCACTTGGTGTAACAGGTTATCTTTATACTGCAGTTTCCATGGAACTGGAGGTGGGATCAACGACAAGGTAAAAGGAGCGTGTGAGAAACCTTTTGGCCCTTATTTCGTTTTAATGAAACTATTCTGCTGCTGCTGCTGCTCTGCAGGGAGGTGATGGCGTAGGGATGTTGGAATTTCACGCTTAAAACATTTGCTGCCTGCCAATCTGTTTTTCTTCTCTGTTCATATTAAAATAATAATAATAATAATAATCTTCAAGTGTAATGAAAAAAATAAAATGTTCTTTAACCATATCCTTATTGACATTAAGTTATTTACGTCTGCATACAACTCATTTTATAGGATAAGCATACCACCAGCAACCCCAAGGGCTTAATTATGAAAGAGAAGCTTCAAAACCCAGATATGGCTTTGAGCACCAGCTGGGAGGACACGAACCAAACTAACTGAAATGCAGGGTTTGTGTCCCTTTCCTCTGGATTCAGGGAGTCCCTGCAGATGATGGCAGTCTGCTGTTGGTGAAGGGGAAAGAGCTGTACCTCCTATGTGGTACCTGAGGTTACAGAAGGTGTCCTCTGTGTCTCCCGTTCTTTCTCTCTCTGTAGGGTAAGGCTCAGATGGGTCCAAAAAAAGAACCAACTGTTACCAGTGCCGTGGGAGCTTTGCTGCAGAACAGGGCCCTCGTGGCCACGAATGAAGCCCCAAACAAGTCAGGTGAGTCAGAGCATGCATTTCAGCTCTCACATGATGGGGGTCAGAGGAGACCACTGTTGAGTTTGGGAATTCACCGGTAGTCTGCAAAAGCTCCAAGACCTTCACAGTTTCTTTTGGATGCAAATATGTGGGTTAGACGTTATAGCTTATTTGCCAAAAGGAAATATTACTTAATTTATCAGGATTACACAACTTTCACAGTGTACAAGCCAAATTCAATTACTGCAATGAGAGTCTAGAATCATTGTTCTCCAGTCTAGTAAAATTGAAGAGATTGAAAATAGGAGAAGACCACGTGTTATGTTTGTGTTGAAAATAAGGGGAAAGTTTCTTTTCTAGAAATAAATACTGCTGCTCCTCAATTTATAATGGGGCTACATCCTGATAAACCTATTGTAAATAGAAATATCCTAAGTCAAAAATGCATTTAATACCCCAATAAACTGATCTGAAGTTGAAAAATCTTACATCAAACTATCGTAAGTCAAGAATTGTCTGCACAGTCATCCCTCAGTATCCACAGGCGATTGGTTCCAGGGCCCTAGTGGATATCAAAATCTAGTGGATACTTGAGATAAAATGGTGTAGAATTTGTATATAAGCTACTCACATCCTCCAGTCTACACTAAATCATCTCCAGATTACTTGTAATACCTAAGGCAATATAAATGCTATGTAAGTAGTTATGCTATATTCAAATTTTTAGATTTTTTAAAAATTATTGGTACAGTTGAGCTTATTTATTTTTAATGTTCTCCATATGTAGTTGTTAAATCTGCAGATATGGAACCCATGAGAACAGAGGCTGACTGTAATTTCTTCAAGGTGACAGCAAGGCATAACCATAGGCACCATCCTAATGGGGATGAGGCAGTATTTCATTTTAGTTTTGATTTGCATATCTCTAATTAGATTTGTGAGGTTAAGCATCTTTTCAAGTGCTTATTGACCATTTGTGTATCTTCTTTGAAAAAATGTCTGTTCAAGTCCTTTGCCCATTTTTGAATTTGTTTTAGTTGTTGACTTTTAGGAATTCTCTATGTATTCTAGATATTAATCCCTTATCAGCCATTTGGTTTATAAATATTTCAGGGGTTGCCTTTTTACTTTGTTGATATTGTATGTGTGTCTGTGTGTGTGTGTATGTGTGTTTGATTTTTAGATAGGGTCTCACTGTTTGCCCAGGCTGGAGTGCAGTGGCACAATCATGGCTCACTGCAGCTTCAACCTCCCAAGCTCAAGTCATCCTCCCACCTCATCTTCCCAAGTAGCTGGGACTACAGGCATGTGCCACCATGCCCAGATAATTTTTAATTTTTTTGTAGAGATGAGTTCTCACTATGTTGATATTCTCTAGATTCACAAATCTTTAAAATTTTCATGAAGTCCAATTTGTCTATTTTTCTTTGGTTGCCTCTGGCAACCAAGAAATCAAAGAAATTGGATTAATCCTTGCCTAATCCAGGGTCAGAGAAGTTTACTCCTATGTTTTTGTCTAAGCTAAGCCTAGCTGTAGATCTTACGTTTTAGGTCTTTGATCTATTTTGGGTTAATTTTTAATATGTGATGTTAGGTCAGGGTCTAGCTTCATTCTTTTGCATGTGATTTCCCCACTCAACCAATGGTTTTGGCACCCTTGTCAAAAATCATTTGACCATATATACAAGGGTTTATTTTTGGACTCTATTCTATTTCATTGGTTTATATTCCTGTCTTTATGCCAGTATTACATTGTCTTGATTACTATAGCTTTTAGTAGGTTTTGACATTAGGAACCATGAGTCCTCCAAGATTGTTTTGGCTATTTGGGATCCTTTGATATTCTATATGAATTTCAGGTTGGGATTTTCTATTTCTGTAGGACACATTGAGATTTTAATAGGGATTGCACTGAATTGTAGGTTGCTTTGGTTAGTATGGACATCTTAACAATAGTAAGTCTTCAAATCCATGGACCTGGAATATATTTCTGTTTATTTATGTCCTCTTTAATTTCTTTCAGCAATGTTTTGTAGTTTTCATTGTACAAATCTTTTGCCTCATTGCTTAAGTTTACTTGTGTTCTTTTTGATGTTATTGTAAATGTAAGTGTCTTCAAAATTTCTTTTTTTGATTGTTCATTGTTAGCGTACAGAAACACAACTAGTTTTCATGTGTTAGCTTTCTGTTCTGCTACTTTGATGAATTAATTTATTGGTTCTAATAAGTTTTTTTGGTGATATCTTTGAATTTTCTGATTATAAGATCATAGCATCTGTGAACAGAGATAATTTTACTTCTTCCTTTCCTATTTGATGCCTTTTAATTTTTTTTTTTTTTTTTTTTTTGCCTAATTGCTCTGGTTGGAACTTCTAGTACTACATTAAATAGAAGTGAAAATTAGCATCTTTGCATTGTTCTTGATCTTAGAAGGAATGTTTTCAGTCTTTCAGCCTTGAGTACGGTGATCTCTAGGGGTTTTACATATACGATTTTTATTATGTTGAGGTAGTTTCCTTCTATTCTTAGTTTGTTGAATGTTTTTTTATCATGAAAGGGTGTGGAATTTTCTCAAATGCTTTTTCTGCATCAGTTGAGATGATGATGTGATTTTTGTTCTTTATTCTGTAAATGTAGTGTACATTGATTGATTTTCCTATGTTGAACCATCCCTGTATCTCAGGAACAAATCCCACATGGTTATGGTATATAATCCTTTTAATGTGCTACTGAACTTGATTTGTTAGTATTTTATTGATAACTTTTGCATTAATGTTCATAAGAAATATTGTTTTCTTATAGTGTCTTTATCTGACTTTGGTGTCAGGGTAGTCTTGGCCTCATTGAATGAATTAGGAACGTTCCCGTCTCTTCAATATGTTTGGGAAATGTTTGAGAAGAGTTGCTGTTAATTCTTCTTTAAATGTTTGATAGAAGTCACCAGTGAAGCTCTCAGCTCCAGAGCATTTTATTTAGTTATTTTTGTCATGAGATTTTTGATGATTAATTCAATCTCCTTAATAGTTACAAGTCTATTCAAATGTTCTATTTATTCATGATTTACTTTAGGTAGGTGTTGTATTTTTTTAGGAATTCATCCATTTCATTGAGGTTATCCAATTTTTTGGCACATATTTTTTCATAATACTCTCATGAAATCCTTTTTATTTCTGTAGCATTCGTAGTTATATCTCCACTTTCAGTTCTGAGTTTAGTAATTTGAGTGTTTTCTCTTTTAATTTATTTTTATTTATTTTTATTTTTTTGAGAGAGCCTTACTCTGTCACCAAGGCTGGATTGCAATGGCAACATCTCAGCTCATTGCAACCTCCACCTCCTGGGTTCAGGGGATTCTCCTGTTTCAGCCTCTCCAGTATCTGGGACCACAGATTACCATGTGTGGTTAATTTTTGTATTTTTAGTAGAGACAGTGTTTTGCCATGTTTGCTAGACTGTTCTTGAAATCTTGGCCTCAGGTGATCTGTCCACCTTGGCCTTGCAAAGTCCTGGGATTACAGGGGTGAGTCACTGTGCCTGTTCTCTTTCTTTTTTTATTAGTCTATCAAGCTAATGGTTTTTATTTTCTTTTTAAGTTCAGGGGTACATATGAAGGATGTGCAGGTTTGTTATATAGGTAAACATGTGCTATGGTGGTTTGCTGCACAGATGATCTCATCATCTAGGTATTAAGCCCAGCATCCATGAGCTTTTCTTCCTGATGCTCTCCCTTCTTCCCCCCATCCTCCAACAGATCCCAGTGTGTATTGTTCCCCCCATGTGTCCATGTGTTCTCATCATTCAGCCCCCACTTATAAGTGAGAACATGTGGTATTTGGTTTTCTGTTCCTGCTTAAGTTTGTGGAAGATAATGGCCTCCAGCTTTATCCACATCCCTGCAAAGGATACCATCTCATTCCTTCTGTGGCTGCATAGTATTCCACGGTGTATATGTAGCACATTTTCTTTATCCAGTCTATCGCTGATGGACGCTTAGGTTGATTCCATGTTTTTGCTATTGTGAATAGTGCTGCACTAAAAATAGGCATGCATGCATCTTTATAATAGAATTATTTATATTCCTTTGGGTATATACCCAGTAATGGGTTTGCTGGGTCAAATGGTATTTCTGCCTCTAGATCTCTGAGGAATCACCACACTGTCTTCCACAATGGTTAAACTAATTTACACTTTCATCAAACAGTGTAAAAGTGTTCTTTTTTGCTCTACTACCTAGTCAGCATCTGTTATTTTTTAAATTTTTAATAGCCATTCTGATTGGTGTAAGACGGTATCTCATTGTGGTTTTGATTTTCATTTCTCTAATGTTCAGTGATGTTGAGCTTTTCTCATATGTTTGCTGGGTGCATGTATGTCTTCTTTTGAAAAATGTCTGTTTGTGTCCTTTGCCTGCATTTTAATAAAGTTGTTTTTATCTTTTAAGTTTCTTGAAGTTCCTTGTAGCTGCTACATATTAGACTTTTGTCAGATGGATAGATTGCAAACATTTTCTCCCATTCTGTAAATTGTCTCTTCACTCTGATGATAGTTTCTTTTGCTGTGCAGAAGCTCTTTAATTTAACTAGATCCCACTTTTTTCATTTGCTCCAATTGCTTCTGGTGTCTTCATCATGAAATGTTTGCCCATGCCTATGTTCTGAATGGTATTGCCTAGATTTTCTTATTTTCTTCTATGGTTTTTATAGCTTTGGGCTTTACATTTAAGTCTTTAATCTATCTTGAAAACTGATTTTTGCAGATGGTGTAAGGAAGGGGTCCAGTTTCAATTTTCTGCATATGGCTGGCCAGTTATCTCACACTATTTATTAAATAAAGAATCCTTTCTTCATCGCTTGTTTTTGTCAAGTTTGTCAAAGATCTGATGGTTGTAGGTGTGCAATCTTATTTCTGGGTTTTCTGTTCTGTTCCATTGGTCCCTGTGTCTTTTTGTACCAGTGCAATGTTGTTTTGGTTACTGTAGCCTTGTAGCATAGTTTGAAGTCAGGTAGTACCTCTAGCTTTGT